CTGTAATACTCTAATAATGTATGCTATATACTGCTAATAATGCTACTGCTTAATACTGCTAATAATGCTTACTGCTAGATACTTGCTTAATAATGCTACTGGCTAATACTGGCTAAATAATTGCTTTATGTAATATGCTAATAAATTGCTACTGTCTTAAATAATTGCTAATAATGCTACTGCTAATAAGCTAATACTGCTGCTAATACTGCTTAATAATGCTAATACTGCTGCTAATAATGCTACTGCTTAATACTGCTAATACTGCTGAATACTGCTAATAATGCTACTGTATACATGCTAATACTGAACTGCTAATAATGCTAATTACTGCTGCTAATAATGACTACTGCTAATACTGCTAAGTACTGTCCTAATAATGCTACTGCTATACTGCTAATACTGCTAATAATGTTACTGGCTACATAATGCTAATAATGCACCTGCTATATAATGCTAAAATGCTATCTTCTAATAATGCTACTGCTAATAATGCTAATAATGCGTACTGCTAATATCGTATATACTGCTGCTAACGCTGCTTAATAATGCTAATAGTATAATGCTGCTAATAATGCTAATACTGCTTAATTAATGCACTGCTAATAATGCTACTGCTGCCTGCTAACGCTGCTAATAATGCTAATAATGCTAATGCTGCTAATAATGCTAATACTGCTGCTAACGCTGCTAATAATGCTAATAATGCTACTGCTAATAATGCTAATACTGCTAATGCTGCTGCTAACGCTGCTAACACTGCTACTGCTAATAATGCTAATGCTGCTAATAATGCTAATACTAATGCTGCTAATACTAATACTGCTAATAATGCTAATACTAATACTGCTAATAATGCTACTGCTAATAATGCTAATGCTGCTAGTAATGCTAATGCTGCTAATAATGCTAATGCTAATGCTGCTAATACTAATGCTGCTAATAATGCTACTGCAAATAATGCTAATACTAATGCTACATTAATGAGTGCTGTGTTCCTCAGATCCGCCCTCGATGCACAAAGAACCGACCATCCTCGTTCCGACCAGAGACAAAGTATTCACTGTCAAACAGGGTAATCAATAATTAATGTGATTGATCAGCATTATAATGTCCCATGATGCAGCGGGATCAATAACCACAGTGATCACTGGACTGATCACTGTGGTTATTGATCAGAACCGATCCCTGTGGTTATTGATCAGAACCGATCACTGTGGTTATTAATGTTATTGATCAGAATCGATCACTGAGTTATTAATGTTATTGATACAGGACAGACACAAAGAATATATGTTGTATTTATATTTAAATATATATATACAGTGAAAAACCACAAGCTAACTAGCGGCTAATCTACATCAATTGTTAGCTCGCTGGTTAGCTCGCTGGTTAGCTCGCTAGTTAGCTCGCTAGTTACATAATAAACACAAACTAATCAGATAGTGAGCTCAATAATGTATCAATATATGCTAATATAAATATAACACATATAAAATATTTACTGTTTTCTGCCAATCAAATCACATAAAGCAGCCTGTGATTGATCAATAACCTGTGATTGATCTGTAACCAGTGATTGATCGGTATCCTGCGATTGATCGTTAACCTGTGATTGATCAGTAACCAGTGATTGATCAGTAACCAGTGATTGATCTGTAACCAGTGATTGATCGGTATCCTGTGATTGATCAATAACCTGTGATTGATCGGTATCCTGCGATTGATCGTTAACCTGTGATTGATCGTTAACCTGTGATTGATCGGTATTGATCGACTGCAGTGTGTGAAGATGTTCAGGTACAGTCTGATGCTCGCTGTCTCCTCCTGAGGACATAAAGCCGCTCAGGCAGTTCGGACCACGTTCAACATCCCAAAACTTAATGACCCGAACAGAATCAGCCGCAGGAGCTAAACCCATAAACCCGACACACGAGCATCCAGTGGATATTACTGCTCCTGTTAGCTCCTCTCAGCTAATCTGAAACCACATCAGAGACCTGCAGAGGTCAGTGACTGCAGAGAGTGAGAGCTGTGAGGCTGTGGTGATGACCTAAAGATATTTAATATGTGAATGAAATGTAGATATTCTGCTCTCAGACACGGAGGTGCAGCTGCTGTGTAAAGCTCTGTTCCCGTACCTCGACTCGGAGTGGAAGATGTGGTGGACGGTTGACGGGAAGACGTTGGACAAAGTTCACGACTATCATCGATTCTCCAAAACCACCAGGTGGAGAAAACAACGACTTATTATCTGTGTATAAACCTCCGACCATCCTAAAGCTCATCTACAGTCAGTGCTCATCAATCTTTAGGTTCAGTGAGTGTTTTATTTTGAAATGCAGAAAGGTGAATGACGACTTCGGGGACCGAATGGAGGAGAGCGTGCTGGTGATCCAGGACTTCCAGTCTGAAGACCTGAAGAGAGAGTTCAACTGCTCTGTGAAGAACAAGAGAGGGTTCGAGACCCGAAGAGTTCAACTGGTGGAGGAAGGTGAGGAAGAGTCGCTGCTTCCTGTCGGTCAGACGACTTTAGCATTATACGATATTAGCATTATACCACATTAGCATTATACGATATTAGCAATATAAGACAAAGCTAACAGGCCTGAGGTATGATTATCCCATGCTAAACAGACTGATGCTAAGCTAACAGGTCTGAGGTTGTGATATCATGCTAACAGACTGATGCTAAGCTAACAGCGCCTGAGGTTACTGATGATCATGCTAACAGACTGATGCTACGCTCAACGGGTCTGAGGTTGCGTGATATGGGTAACAGAACTGATGCTTAAGCTAACAGGTCTGAGGTTGTGAGTATCATGCTAACAGGGATCTGATGCTAAGCTAACAGGTCCGAGGTTATGACATCATGCTAACAGACTGATGCTAAGCTAACAGGTCTGAGGTTATGATATCATGCTAACAGACTGATGCTAAGCTAACAGAGGTGTGTTTGCAGTGTCGCTGCCGTCGGTGGAGCTGGGTTGTGGTCTCGGTGTGACTCTGGTCCTGATGCTGCTTCTGTTCGTGGTCTATCACGTCTTCTGGTTGGAGCTGCTGCTGCTCTACAGATCCTGGTTCGGCACCGACGAGCGTCACACAGGTAACGGTTTCTCCTCGGCGTTCGCGGCCCCGTCCTGCTGCCATCCGTCTGATTAAGGTCGCCGTTATTTAGCACCTTTTTCTGTAATTGAGAAAAACGAAGTGTGTGCTGTCTTCAGGTTTTACGTCCTGATACTAAATTTCTTCGGTTTAATGACGATCGTCTCCGTCTGGCTGCAGCCGGAGCATTTAGATTATTAAACCTGGAGTCAGTGGAACGTGTAACTGATTACACTCGCGCTGCCAGATTTATTCACTCGACCCCAAAAACACGACAGTGAACGTCTCGAAGCTTTTAGGCTCGGCTGCACCAGAGAAAAATGTACACAGTGGTTGTAAAAGTTAACGTTACACTGGTGGTAAATCTGTGCTGCCTTCAGGGAAACTCAGAGATTGGAGAGTCGGTTCAGCGGCATTAAAACAATAACAGGATCTTTCTCAGAAATAAGTGTAATTTTTACACTTTTATTATTTAAAAAAACTTTTTTTATTTATTATAGCTTACAGACTGATGCTAAGCTAACAGGTGTCATGCTATGTTATTTAGCATCTTTTTGTGGAATACAAAAATGAATATTTCCTTCCTGTTTGCACGCACCATAAAGTTAAGAATCAACATCTGTACAGATGTAACCAGCACGCTAATGATCACTGTATATTAGCTATCTGGTGATTGATTGGTGATTGATTGGTCCAACTGTGTGTGTGTTCAGATGATAAGGAGTACGATGTGTACATCTCGTACGCGAGGAACAGCGAGGAGGAGCAGTTTGTGCTGTCGACGCTGCGCAGCGTTCTGGAGAACGAGCTCGGATACTCTGTCTGTATCTTCGACAGAGACAGTCTGCCGGGAGGGAGTGAGTACTCGCTGCGTCAGTGCTGCGTCAGTGCTGCGTCAGTGCTGGCTGTACATATTCTGTAGTAAAATATAGTCGTACATGAACAAATGCACTTATGTCACTGCTAGGAACACTGAATAGTAATATTACTACCTCTACCTGCTACTGCCAGTATACTACTCTAAAGCTCTCAGTGTTGACCTCCGCAATATGCTAACACTGCTGCTGCTAAATATTTTAAGCTAAGTATTACTACTATTACTACTATTACTACTCCCAGAAACACACTCATCTATCTTCACTTCATTAACTCTTTATTATTAACTCGTCATTAACTCGTCATTAACTCTTCATTAACGCGTCATTACTCTTCATAACTTCTCATTATTAACATCGTCATACTCTTCATTAACTCGTCATTAACTCTTCATTAACTCTTCATTAACCCGCTCTCTCCCTGCAGCCATCACAGATGAGACTCTCAGTTTTGTGGCTCGTAGCCGGCGCCTCCTGGTGGTCGTTAGCCCGGGCTACGCCTCTCACGGCTCCCAGGCCCTGCTGGAGCTGAAGGCCGGCATCGACGGCATGGCGCTGGGCGGGCACCTGCGGGTGATCCTGATCCAGTACAAGCCTGTGCAGAGGCAGGGCTGGGTGAGGGAGCTGAGGAGGGCGCGGGTCGCCCTGGCGCTGGTCCGGTGGCAGGGGGACAAGTCCAAGGAGCTGACATCCCGCTTCTGGAAGAGGCTGCGGGTGGAGTTACCTGTGAGGAGGGTTGGCGGCGGGGAGGAGGGCAGTAAGGACGTAGCCCTGATGAGGCTGCACAGTCAGAACAGCACCAACTCCCAAACCGGGCTCATCAGCGACACCGTCAAACACCCGCACAAGGTCTTCAACTCTGCCGGGTAGCACAGACACCCGTCAGTCAGGACCGGTTCAGTGTCTGCAGAACTTTAGACGAACTGAGAGCGGTGGAGAGATCTCGGTCTCTGACTCTACTCCCTCGTTACAGTCTCTAAAAACTAGTTCCTATCTAGGACTGGGTCAGTACCAGGACCAGTACAGTGCCTGACTCAATACTACAAAACAGTACTTCTCTCAGTGCCTTACTAATTTTCAATATTTTATAATTTAAACACAAAGCAATTTGTCCAAATATTACTACTTGCAAGACGACAAGTGAACAACTTTTAAAGTGCCTGTTTTCTAAATGGAGTTTGGTTGATTGGGGCTATGCTAACTTAGCTCATAGTAAATCCGCTCTTCTCAAATTAATAACATTTCTGCCTTCAGTATTATTTGTCCTCTCATTATCAATAATCACCGTTCACACTATCATACATTGTATTACTGCAGTGTTTGTCAGTGTTACCTTCAAGAACAAACCACAGCAGCCAAATACAGCGAGACACATTAAAGAGGTTCAGTAAAGTGGAAGTAAACATTTAGCAGACTAAGGCTAACATAAGCATGCTGTAGCATATTTAGAGTCCTAACCTGTCCTGTAAAGTTTGCACATCCTGATGTTGTCAGTATTTCTTCACCATGAAAGAAAGTGGTCAACTCGCTGGGGGGGGGGACGCGCCTTGTGTTCACGTTACAGTGCTAATCCTGATATTAGCATGTTAGCATTTATTATCAGTGTCCGTATTTGCAGTATTCATAAAAAAGCCGCTGCGACTGAAAGGAACTGGTTCTTTAGTGTTTGATAACAGTAGTGTTTTATCCTGTTGGTGGCGGTAGAATCGTTACAGTTGGAGCTGAATGGCTAATCAATCGATGATACTCAACAGCGTCTGTGCAAAGACACCGAGAAGCTCTGTTTGTTTGAGAGCCAGACAGCGAGGAGAGGTCGGTACTGAGAAAGGAATCAAAGAGTAAAACTTTACTTTGTGTGTTTGTTTCACAGCCTCAGTGAGATTTCAGGAGACGGTGAACATCTGTAATAAAGTTGGGTGTCATCTGCGTAGAGGGAGATTTACACTCTCATAGACAGCCTTTATATATAAATATATATAAAATACTGCAACCTATCCAGTATTAGTCCGATATTTACAGAGTGAAACTCACTGATAACTTTAAAATGTTGTAATTATTCTGCACTTTCTGTATTTTTATGTTTCCTCTTTTAAACTTTCAGTTTATCAACAGTAAATCTGTCGTATGAGGTTATTAACACTGGTTGTAAAGGGAGAACGCATTCTGCACTTTGTCTCTTTGTATTTGTCTGCATTTTATGTTTCTTGGGAATAAATGTTTTTTTTTTCATCTTCACGTCGCCATCATTCATTCATTCATTCATTCATTCATTGGCACAAATACACACCAGCATGTAGTTACTGCAAGCAGTTATAATATAATTCACACAGTTAGAGGTTGCAGCACAATAATGATCATTAGTTAGTTAATTACTGTGAGAGCATTGTGATGTGAGTGTGCTGCCCCCTGGTGGCAGATGGAGGAACAACACCCACTACAACTGGCTGCATTCACACTGCAGGCGAACGTGGCCCGAATCTGAACATTGTTGAATGGGTTTAATCTCCCACCAGGTTGAGATTCGGTCCCTGGTCTGGCTCGCAGTGTGGATCCTGAGCTGTTGTTGTTGTTGTTGTTATTGTTGTTGGAAAAGTCTCTTCCTGTTTGTCCTGTCAGACCTATCAGACGCCATCTTGCACTCGATGCAGCGCAGCCGGCGCCTTCTCTTCGTCCTCAGCCCTGACTTCCTGGCAGAAAAGAGCTTCAGCCTCCTGGAGTGTCGTCTGGGTCTGTACCTCCAACACGCCCGCCAGGCCTCTGTCATGTCCGTCGTCTACCGCTCCGTCAGTAAACTGCCCTGCGTGGAGGTCGCTCAGCTCCGCCAGGCCGCCGCCGCCACCGTGACATGGCGAGGGAGTCGATCCGAGCCGCGTCGCTCCCGGTTCTGGCTGCGGTTGCGGTTGGCGCTGCCCGTGCGCCCCCTCGCGATGGGCCGGAGGATGATTGACAGCACGTCGTCGCACTCGGACCTGGCCGCCATGGCGCTGCAGAGAGTGCAGCGGATCCAGAACCAGAGAGCCAATCAGAGCCGCGGAAACAGGAGGGCCAATCAAAGCAGAGACAGACGGGTGAGGAGGGCGCAGGGCCACAGCAGGAGCTGCTCGGGGTGCGCTGGCGTCATTGGTCAGGTGGAGGGCAGGGGGGCGGAGCTAACAGTAGAGATGCAGCAGGTGTCAAATGACAGGACTGTCCCTGAAACAGAGCCCGCCCCCATTCCAGACTCCACCCACAACCCTCCATCAACTCCTAACCCCGCCCCCATACACGACCCGGACTCTGACCCCGCCCACCAGCCAGACGACGACGACAACGGGGTGGAGCAGCAGCAGATGATTGGTTCAGAGACCTCTGAGGTGACAGTGATGTCAGCAGGAAAAGGGGAGGGGCTTGTGGTACATATAAACCAACCAATCATAATGTAGCAATAGGACCCCGCCCTTACACTAACTCCGCCCCTTAAACCCAACTGAGCCTCTGATGCAGACCAGAGGAATGCTGCATTCAGGTTACACTGGGAAAGAACAGGAAACTGAATTATACTTTATATTAAACCCCTTTTTATACCTTCACACACACGAGTGTTGTTACTGTTTCTAATTTGATCTGATTAATATCAGCCTCACTGGTTACTGCTAATGCTGCTGCTTCCCAGACTTTAACTAAACAGATGTTGTCTGAGGGTTTTTATACTAACTGAAACTTTTAGTTCACGGAGATGAAAAAGTAGACATGTAATAAGTATACAAGTATAAATGATGTTGGTGTTATATTATTATATTATAAAACTGACGGCTGTCTGAAGATGTGAAAGCCGTCTCTCCTACAGAACCTGAACGCAGCATTTCACTCCTCTGTCCTCAGAAATAAAATCAGCTGATTCCAGTAAAGAGAGCATGAAGATAAAGTGACTTCCTTTAATGAAAATATGTAATTCAATATTCATAAAACTGTGAAAATGCCTTATTTTATATCTCTGAATATTTGTTATTGATCACGAATCAATATGATTAAAATCTTATTGTCTGAATATCAGGTTCTGTTGGGTCGGTGTATCTTTTGCTCGGTTGATTTAGTTTTCAGAAACAGCCAGTAAAACAACAAACGAGTGGTTGTTTGATTTGTTTTAAAACAGTTAAACTGTCTAAATTTTTAAAAAATTGTTTTATTTTCATTTTTATTTCCAGTTTCTAGTTATTTTATTTTTTTGTAATGGTCCAATTTTTTTTATTTCACTCAAAAACACAATTACAATTTTAATTTTGTATTTGAAAACAATAATCAAATAGTTTTTGTTTTTTGTTGTTTAATATTGTTAATGGAAATAAAACATACCCAGCCCAAAGCGGTGCCGTTTAATGTCGTAATCTCAAGAAAACAAACAAAATTTTCTCAATAAAAATGAATCGCAAGAGAATTAATAATAAATAAAGATAAATAAGATAATAGCATTAAAAAGATGTTTCAGTCCATGACCATTAAGGGCTTCCATAGTTTGTCCCATTTCTGCCAGTGTGACAAAAAAAAAAGGATTCTGTCATGATGAAAAACCTTCATTAGAAAAATACTAACTTAGTATCTCAAAGCCATTATTTTGAAAGTTTCCCATTATTCTGAAATAAGCTTCCATACTTCCTTCCAGTCCACACAGCTGAGGTTGATCAGTTGATTGAGCTGTTTCCTGCTCCTCCTTTCATGGATTTAATGTTAATGCAGAACAACAACAACATTAAACTGTGAGTAAAAAACAACTAAACTAAAATTAGTAATCAATAATCAATCGAACACAGTGGACAGTGTGAAACGCTCTGATGCTTCCGGCCTGTTTTTGATAAATAAAGTTTTGTATTTCAAAAAGAAAATGTCCATTTTTCTCTCTTTTCTTTCACTTTCCTGTTTTTGTTTCTTCTTTCTTTCTCCTCGTGTTTAAAATCATCAAAATCGTCCTGAAAAGTCACTAAAATTGAGCTTTAATCACAGATAATTCGATACAAAATGGAAGAAATGTTTATTCATCGCAGCTCAACAAGTGAAATGTGATTAAATGCTGTATTATTAATAACTGATTCAGTGGCATCGAGTGGGAAAAACTACGGGGGCTCATTTGCATATTTAAACAAACAGTTTGAGGAAATAATTGTCTTAATGTGATTGATCCACTGGGGACGTTGCTGATATCTGTTTTTACCTAGAGTGAAACTTATAAATCTCCTCTTCAGCAGCTCCTACAGACCAAAGCTTCCAGTTGTATTATTCATTCTATAGTCTGAAGGTTTGTACAGAGGGCGGAGTTATAGCACATTTTATTACTAAAAACATCTGATGTATGGAGATAAAGAGATTCCTTCTAATGTGTCAACAAAATAAAACAACAATGTTCAGATTTCTCTTCTGGAAATGTATGAACTATGTATTGTATTTTTCATATACAAAATAGAACAAAGGTCGAACAGAGGTCGATAGAGATCAGATCTCTCTCGGGCTCGTTTCCTGGCTCGCAAGCTTACAGTCGAGTTTTAATTTAGGGCTCTAATGTGCTGATTGGAAACCTTTAGAGAGGAGACCTTCCTGGATTCAATGTGAAGCCAGACTGAAGCGAAACCCTAACCCTAACGCCTCATTTGCATATTTTAACATAACATTTCAGAAAACTTGTTTAAATGCTCACTTCATCCATCCGTAGTGTCCTGACCTTATGTTTGTATTAATTTATAAATTCTGATTACTAATTAATGTTTTTTTTTATTTTAGCTGAAAAACTTCTGAAGCCAAAACTACATTTTCCATCAACATCAAGAGAAAGATGTGATAAAACCATGAGAGAGGATTCTGGGTAATGAAGTAAGTTTAAAAAAAGGGAAGTTGGAACGACTCAGCTTTTATTCTTATTTTTTTATTGCTTCCTTTTCTTGGCTGTGAGGGCGTTTAACTATTGATTCACAGTGGGATCAGCAGTACTAACAACAGAGTCTAAAGCTTAAATGTATAATTTAATTAATTTATTCATTAATTTTCTGCATGATAGTGAATATTATTATTTATTATTATTTATATTACAGACTAGTTTCACACCAAACCATGTGATACCGTGTCAGTGCCACATTTCACCTCCTGGTTCGCTGACTGAGGATCAGAAAAATAAAGACAGAAAGCTGGTGTAGAACTGATTATAAGACAACCATCAGATGCAGCAGGTTCAGTGTCAGAGTTTTATTCTGAAATCCTGATCCAACCAGGTGGTTTCAGGTACCAGAAAGTGAAGCAGTACCTGAGTGGATCAGCAGGTGTCAGTGTTTGACTGCTGATCTGAGACCAGTTTTTGTTTGAGGACGTCTCAGCTTCCTGTTTACTGCTTTAAAGACTTCACACAACTTTATTTATTCATTAGCAGAAACCTGGATTGATTATTATTATTATTGATAACTAATCACACAATGTTTATTCTCATTTTCTGATCTTTCATATTTAATATTTAAAGGTTTTATTGCTCGTTTAATATGCAGCAAATAACTTAATAACATTCAAAGAGAAAAAGCACTAAAATACTGCTGCAGTGTTATACAATAGTAATGTTAGCTTCGACTTTGGACTGTGTTGTGTTCACTGTCGGTCGTTGTTTTGGGAAAAGTTAGCAGTTAGCATTTATAAGCTAACGTTAGCCAACGAACATATCAATCAATCAATCAATCAATCAATTCAATTTATTCTTCACATCACTGCACCTGCAGGCAACACCATACACTCAACAAAGAAACACGCCAGACACAATGAACAAATCTACAGAACAAAAAAAACAAGAAAGAAAGAAACAAATAAATAATATATGACAGTAATACATTACACACTCAGCGCCCCTTTGTTTAAAGCAGCAATAGCTGCAGGGATCAGGCTTTCCCCATAGCGAGCTTTCTTGCACCTCAATGTCCGGTACCTCCACCCAGAAGGCAGTGGGGTGAGATTTACAACCAGATAGTATCTTACTAACAATAATGTTAAACTGAATAAAAATTATTCAAACCTCGAAATTATTAAAATCATTCAAAGGAAAAGAAGCAAATCTGGAACCATGAAATGATTTTACATGAAAAATGACTTCAGTTGATTATCAGTTAATTGATTAATGGACTGATCAGCTGATGAACAGCAGCTCAAGTTTGATTCTTAGTTTCAGTCCTGAATCTAATGCTCCTCTCACTGACCGCCGCACTCTAAAACACCTCTCCTCTTTATTATCCACA